CCCGCACCCTCTAGTTCTCCCTCATTCCTTATCACTCCTCATGGTTCACCTGTGTCTACTTGCGGCTGTTGGTGTTCCCGTGTGCCATTTCACCTTCTCCTCTGGTCAGTCCTTCCCGCCTTGCCTCATTAACCTCACACCGGTGCCACCGATCGGCGGTGATTCCCAGGTCTCTGTCACTCACCCTCACCTCTCTCCTAAAGATCCAGACCTTGGTTTAAACCTCTTTACTGGCTATTTCCCCCCTTCATCCCCTCAGGCACCTCAAAAATACAACCTGTTCCAACTTAAGCTCACTGTCTCCTCCCTAAAACGTGTTCCTCTTCTCTTTATGGGCCAGCGACCCCACCATTCCCTCAAGCCAAAACTCTTACTGCTTCTCTCCAACCTCTTCTGGCCACTCAGTCAACCAGTGCCACTGCAATCCCTCAACACAACTTTCCAGATCAAAGAGGACGCCCGGCGCTGTGCACTCCGCTGTGTTTCAACAGAGGCTGCTTCCGTCCCTGCGTTGGCTCTGTCGGGCCTCCCTGCCTTGGAGTGGCTGCAGAGTTCTGCATCATTCAAGAGAGTGATGTCAGTGCCTAGCCTCACTCCTTTAATGCCTCCATGGGCTTCTGGGGGCCGCTGTGGGAGGTCAGGGGTGAGGGGTGCACGCTAATTTCTCATCTCCTAATAAGCTCTTGGAAAAAGCCTTTAGAACTCTGTCCACCCAAAGTGTGGTCAGAGTGACATCATGGAGAGCTTGTTAAAATGCAGAATCCCTTATAAGAATGACTCACGTGCACATCAAAAGTTTGAGAAGTGCCGGCTAGATGCTTTACGGGAACTGGATTTCTCAACTCCCAAGACACATCGTGCCATTTCAGATCTATGTCTTTCAAAAGCTGTACCATCTGCTGGGAAGGTCCTATCAAGCCTTCTACACCTTGCAGGCCTACGCTAACATAAGAGCCCCTAGCGCAAGACAGTACCTACATAGTAGGCCAGAAATAGGTCATTGATCGGGGCATTTAATCAGCTAACAGATGAGTCTTGGGTTCTGAAGAGCATTCAGGTGGAAGTTGAATGTTAGGCAGCTGGAAACAGAGGCCCAGAGTTTAAAGGAGAGGTTAGCTGAGCTGGCAATCTTCCTAAGTCATCAGTAGCAAACTATTTCAGAGGTTACAGTAATGAATAGGTGAGGTCACCCAGGTATAAGATGGAGACTGAGAAGACGACGATGAGCCAAATGGTGGGAAGGCTGACACTGAAGGGACCTATTGTAGGAGGCAGCTGTAAATCAGGTTAGCAGGGCGGGAAAGGACCACGACAGGCGTCCAGGAGCTCCCCCAAAATAAATGGATCTGGCACCCGTGATTGTTACCTTTGGCAACTGAAGCTGGGGTGGGGCTGGGGGTGGGCGTGGGGTGGGGTGGGAAGTGGATCAGAACAATGAGGGCAGAGAGAAAGCAGATGCTTAACTTCTTTAGCCGAATACCTGAATGGGTCAGGGCTAGGGAAATGACCACTGGGTGAGAAGGGAGAGCAAAGAGAAATGCAACTGACGAGAGCTACATCATATACATGAACCTAGTGGCAAAAAGAGGTTAAAAACGTAGTTACACAACCTTTGCTGAGCACTGGCCAACTGCCACGAGCCACAGTCTAACCCTGGGACTCTAACAATAAACAACGCAGGTAAGGCCCCTGCCCTCTGACCCGGCGCAGGGAGACACATGGGGTCATTGATGGAGATCCCGTCACACAGGTTAAGGAGCCAACGTAGGGTGGCTCCCCTTGTACAATAGAAGAGGCCACTTCTGCTCTGGTGGTCGGTAAAATGGCAGGAATGTCAATGGTGAGAGGTCCATGGAGGGATCAAGTTCACATCTAGTAATCCTTGTTATTAAAAGACACCAGGAAAACAAAAAAGAAACGTTTCACCTTGCTCATCAATAACTCTGAGATAGGAGGACCCCCACTCTTGACACCTAAAGTGAGTGAGGCACACAGGAGGACAGAGGCCTGTTCCATCCAGGGGCTAACGAGTGATGGGGAGACCAGAATCACCGACCGGCACATTTTCAGTTCCACTCACGCTGACAGCGTGGGACACAGCAGCACCCAAGCTTTAACAAGATGCCCGGGCGCTGCTGCTCTCAGGGCCCTGAGCCACCTCAGTCTGCAACCGAGTCTGAGCCCTGGATCCTAAAGTTTTCAACAAAGATAAAGGACTTAAAGGGCAAATCATAAAAACCTCCATACTTGGCACACAGCCAAGACAATAGCACGTTCTTAATAAATGACTAATAAGCAATAATAGGAATTTAGGATGTGGATTAGAGTACTCAAAGAAGAAAGTATGCCCTGGCGGGAGGCACAGTTACTTAAGAGTGTTGTGCCAATACAGGGTGTGGATTCCATTTCCAGCCAGGGCACACACAAGAATCAACCAAGGAATGCATAACTAAATGGAACAACAAATCAACCTTTCTCTCCCTCTCTCCAATCAATCAATCAATCAATCAAAAAAAAAAATTTAAAAGAGCAAAGTAGCTTCCTTTAGAGGCAGAATAGCATAGTTATAAGAGCAAGAATGAGGAAGGAAATTTGTGATCTTGGCAAGTTACAGAACCACTCCGTGCCTCAGTTTCCACACCTGTACAACAGGAATCATCATAACACATACCCTCCAAGGTTGCTAGATAAGAGTGTATGTGAAGCCCTAGATTCTAGGGCCTAGAACAGTGCCTGGCATTTAGTAACTGCTCAACCGAAGCTTTAATTTTATGGCCATTGCTACTGCTCTACTACTACTGCCTACCAGTGCTATGGTATGCCTGGCTGCCAGTTTGGCAATTAAAATGCATCCAGAGGAAGCTCTACCACTCACAGCACTGCAATTTTTAAAACATATTAAGTCCCCACCTTGTTTTGCCAACTGCAGGATTATGCTACCACTCAACTGGAGTTCTTCATAAATTTCTGAAGTGGCAAGAAGTAGCTGAAGAAATATGCAAAACCATACATCAATCACAGTTTTTGAACTGTCTCCTATGCTGGAAAATCAAAAATAGTTGTCTGGCCCCAGTTGGTTTGGCTCAGTGGATAGAGCATCTGCCCCCTGGACTGAAGGGTCCTGAGTTCAATTCCAGTCAAGGGCACATACTGTGGTTCCAGACTGCTCCCCAGCTGGGCAACCAATCCATGTGTTTCTCTCACATAGATGCTCCTCTGTCTTTCCCTCTCTCTCAAAAAAAAAAAAAAAAAAAAAAAAAAATCAATGGAAAAATATCCTCCAGTGAGGATTAAAAAAAAAAAAAAATAGCTGTCCAGTTTAGCTAGATGTTCGCTGTATCCTCCTGTACACTTGATGAGCAAAATGGCCTGTGTGTCAAAATACCTTTGTTGGTGATTGTGCCTACCAAAGTGAGGCATCCAGAAAAATCCAATTATCCAAATACCCCTAAAAAGATATTCTCCCGCATAGTTTGTTCTACTTTTCCGGTTTAGATGCAGCCTAAGATATCCTCCCCTCCCCCAGAACACACACACCGTGAGCTCAGCTTCCACTTCAGGTTAGCCCTCCACAGAACAAAAAATGGGCACGGACCATGTCCACTGGTTCCTGACCCTTCCTCTTTCCCAGAAAGCTCTGCTTTGGAGATTCCAGACAACGCTGACATGTATCAAAAAGGTGGAGATAGTGCTCACAGACTCACAAGGAAGATTAGACTTGTTAATAGAAGGTGGATCCCATGAGTAATGCTCACAGCTGTGGCATCCAACAATGGAATTACCATTTGAACAGGAAGTAGAGAGCCATCCCCCAGCAGAAAAGGCCACCTGATCCTGCTGCTTTCGAGCACTCACAAAAATTATCCTTCCGGAGGCTACAGAACGTGCGTCTCCTAGGGTCCCACCCATGAATTAAAAAATAATAATAATAATAATGAATCCTTTGGTTACAAAATGAGACAAATGCTTCTTTTGACAACATCAGTTGCTTAAAACCCTGACCAGGAAATAGACCCGCGTTTTCCAGGACCAAATACCGATGATTCCTAATGGCACACATTTTTTTTTTTTTTTATGACACACCATTGTTAAAATGCCCTCTTCTCTTTTCCGTCCCGAGAAAAGGCTCAGCCGAAAGACACACTAGGCAGATCCTTTGGGAGCTGCCCGTACTAGTCATCACCCCATCTTATCTTCAAAGTGAGGCTGATCACGAGGTTATGAACGTCCCCGCGCACTTTGCCCCGCAGCCTGCGGAGAGCGAGCCTGCCTTTCGGCAGGAAACCCACCTCGGGGTGCCCACCGGCGGCTCCGCGGCGCCGCCGCCCGGTGCCAGGCGCGCCGGGCCCGCCTCGGCGACCCGCCCGGGGGATGGGGGGGACGCGGGGCCCCGGGCATGCGGCGCCCCTTTCCCAGAGGAACCCCCTGCCACCGGCGATCTCGGGCTCGGTGTCCATGTAATCATGGCGTTTGCAATACGGTCTCCCCGCTCGGACGCTCCCACACCTGGGCTCCCGCCGCCCTGGGCTCCTGGAAATCGGGGAACCCTCCCTCCCTGGACGGACCCGGCGCGGAGGGAAGGGCGCGAGCACACAGGGCAGAGCCCGCAGCGGCCACAAAGGAGGGAGCGCGGACCCAGCGCGCCGCACCCACCCGCCCGCCCGCCCGCGGCGCGCCCCGGAGACCCCCGCCGCGGTGCCCCTCATCCTGGGGCTCCGATCCCCGCTCCGCCAACGCCGCCCCCCGTCCCCCTGCCGCCAGGCACCCCCCGCCCCCCGCACGGCTCCCTCCGGAGCCCCTCCACCTCCTCGCCTCGCGCACCCAGCCAGCCCGGCAGAACCATCCGGCGCGGTGGCACCCGCGCCGCAGCGCCCCCAAATCGCGCCCGCGCCCTCCCCCCGCGCCTCATTGTTCCCGGGTGGCCGCCGGCTCGGGCGCCCCGGGCGGGGGCTGGCCGGGCCACGGGGCGACGGGAGGCACCGCACCGCCGCCACACTCACCGGCGACCCCGCACAGGAGCAGGAAGCACCGCAGAAGCGCCATGGCTGGCGGCGCGGCCTTGCGCGGCGACTGCGGGGAGGACGGGGGCTGCGGCCGGGGCTGCGGGTCTCCCGGCGCCGGGCGCGCTCCCGCCGGCTGCCAGCTGCGGCACCTCTGCACCTCGCGCCGCCGCGCCCGCGCTCCGCAGGTGGAGCGCGTCACTTCCGGCCGCGAGCCCCGCCGGGCGCGTGGGGTTGCCATGGCGACGCGGGGGGGGGCGCGCTGCGTGCGGCGCGCGCGCTGGCTGCACCCGGGCTGCTCCCACCCGGGAGCTCCGCGGCGCGGGGCGTGCAGGGGAGCTGGTGACATCCGCGCGTCCCAGTCTGAGCCCCGGCACCCGCCTCCGCGCCTTCGGTGACACCGGGGCGATCGGGATTGGTGTCCCAGGATGGGGCGGCCCCTGGCCCCTGGCCCCTGGTCCCTGGCCCCAGACCACTGCACGGTGGCCACGCCCTTGCTACACTCGCCCGCCCCCCGGGGATCTAAATCGTCGCTCCTGCCTTCTTTCCCCCCCCTTTCCCCCACCCCCACCCCCCCGGGCAGGAGCGGCTTGGAGCCTCGGGCCACGCGTCCCCCCTCCGGCGCTTCGCTGCAGGGGCGAGAGCGCCCGCCTGGCCTGAGGCTCCCGGGAGCAACCCGGCAGCCCCCGCGTTTGGTCCCGGTTCCCTGAGTTGGGTGGGTATAGACAGAGAAGGATCTAGAAGGCTTTTGCCCGTTTCCTGCAAGGACTGAACCGTTCAGCTTCAGCCACGGGTTTGAGGAGTCTCCAGATGGCCTTCCCCGCCTAGCATGGCTAGGTGGACCTAGCCCTGAAATTGGCCAACAAAGGCTAGGGAGCTGGAGAAGCGGGGCTGAGGAAGGGTGGGGAAAGGCTGGGGGGTGGAGGGTCCGAGGGCCTGGGAGTGGGGCATGGTGAATTGCCAGGTCAGCCCTGCACTGTCCAGGGTTGCAAGCTACCAGGCTAAATTGTTAATGTGGTCTTCCTGATTCTACCCTGTTTCCCCGAAAATAAGACAGTATCTTATATTTTTTTCTCCCAAAGTTGCGCTAGGTCTTATTTTCAGGAGATGTCTTATCTTTCCATGCGCTAGGTCTTATTTTCGGAGGATGTCTTACTTTCGGGGAAACACGAGTGGCTCCTGGCATCCTCTCTACGTGCTCCTGCGTCCTATTGCCACCTGTTTCTCAGTTGCTGTTTTCAGATAACGTTTATTTATAGCTGCTGGGACTTTTGTGTTCCCGGCGGTTCTATATCGGGACTGGGTTGCTAGAGAGGAGCAGCGTGCGCCCTGGGTAATTAATTTCCTGGGCTCCGAAATGGGGCAGTCACTGGGCCAAGTTACTTAGAAAGTTAGCTCCTACCACAGTGGTAGCTGGGAAAATTAGAGGAGATAATGAAAAAGGAGAAGAAGGAAAAGAAGGAGAAGGAGAAGGAGAAGGAGAAGGAGAAGGAGAAGGAGAAGGAGGAGAAGAATAATGCTTGGCAGAATAGTAAATACTTAATAAAGTGGAAGCTAATAAAAATAATATTGGAACATTCTTATTCATTGAACCAGAAAAGAGAAGTCAGCCATCAGGAAGACCAACATTAATGCCTAACTGCGATTTAGCCTGGTGGTTTGCAACCATGACTGCACATTGAAATTATCTGGAGGAAGTTCACAAAAATAGCAAAGCCCAAGCCCCACTCTAGAGATCCTGATTGAACGTCTCTCCAGTGGAATCCTGGCTGATGGAAGGCAGAGAGTCCAGGGTAACCACTGGGGACTTCCTATTGGTTGACGAAATAGGAATTTTACTGGATATAATTGAAGGTATAAAATACATGTAACTTGAAATTTGACGACATTATGCTTTATGAGATTAGAGATTAAGTATTAAAGTCGTTCATATCTATTTCAGACTGTTTTATGGAAACTTTTCTAGGGTTAATTTACTTCAAAGAAGCACACTTGCTATAAAGTTACTACTCGGAGTGTCTCCTCCTGAAACTCACCCTTCAGGGATCGTCTCAACCATTTATTAGAGGAAATATTTACAGGTCACCTAGGAGGATTCTCATCTTAATCTCTTTGCTCTGGTACTTTAAAACACACACACACACACACACACACACACACACACACACAATTCCATCTTTGGGCTCATTTTTTTTTTTTAACATATTTTATTGATTTTTTTTACAGGAGGAAGGGGGAGAGAAAGAGAGTTAGAAACATCGATGAGAGAGAAACATTAATCAGCTGCCTCCTACACACCCCTATTGGGGATGTGCCCACAACCAAGTACATGAATTGAACCTGGGACCCTTCAGTCCGCAGGCTGTCGCTCTATCCACTGAGCCAAACCCGTTAGGGCTGGGCTCCTTTTGTGGTAAGCATTCTCATAGCTTACAATCACTTCTCTTACTCTGAATATTTCTAGGAGGCCAAAAAGGCATATTATTTATCTTTGTCATTCTTGGAAGCACAGCCCATTCTAGCCTAAGTTCCCTAGTATTTGTTGAATATATTCAATTCATATAGAGGGTAGGCAAAAGTAGATCTATACTGCTCTTATGGAAAATACAATAATTAATAAAATAATACAAGAATAAACTGTTTGCCGGGCTGGTATTGCTCAGTGGTTGAGTATCAACCTATGAACCAGGAAGTCATGGTTTGATTCCTGGTCAGGGCATATGCCCAGGTTGCCGGCTCAATCCTGTGTGAAGCATGCAGGAGGCAACTGATCAATGATTCTCTCTCATCATTGATGTTTCTCTCTCTCTCTCTCCCTCTCTCTCCCTCTCTCTCTCTCTCGCTCTCCCTCTCTCTCTCTCTCTCTCTCTCTCTCTCTCTCTCTCTCTCTCTCTCTCCCCCTGCCCCCTCCTTTCCTCTCTGAAATCAATAAAATACATATATTTTTTAAAAAATAACTGTTTCACATACCATTCACACTAGACCTACTTTTGCCAACCCCCGTATTAGTATATTGAAAAAAAAAATATCCATGCAATAACTCACAAATTATTACATCAATTTATCTTTTCAGAATGTACTGAAAATGTGTATTTTGCAAAATTACTGCTTTATACTTCAGATTCATGAACACATCATGTTTGGACTTTGTGAGTACATTAGTTCATGTAAGCAGTAGCTAAAATTATGCAGTTATCTGAAACTTCTTAATTGCTACCTTAAAAAGCCTTTGTAGCTATTATCAGCTTAGAAATTTTGTTTCTTGGAAATTGTAATGAAATAATTTCATTAATTCTGGAAGATACATATTGATCGTTTGGTATTCTCAAACCAAGCTAAGAATTAGCGCACAGAGCCCTGGCCAGCAGGGCACTTAAGGCAGGCAACTGATGTGCCTCTCTCATATCTATGTTTTTCTCTCTCCCCCCCCCCCCACCCCCTCTTTTCCTTTCACTCTAAAAATCAATGGAAAAAAATGTCCTCTGGTGAGAGTTAACATAAAAAACAAAACAAAACAAAAGAAATAGCACTCACTCGTTAAATGAATTGCCCTGTCTTAGTAAAACACCAAGCACTGCACATTGTATAGCCTCTAACTCTGTGGTCAGCAAAATGCAGCTCGAGAGCCAAATATGGCTCTTTGGCCCCTTGAGTGAGGCTCTTCCACAAAATACCATGGCCTATCCAAGTCTGTTTTGAAGAAGTGGCATTAGAAGAAGTTTAAGTTTAAAAAATTTGGCTCTCCAAAGAAATTTCAATCGTTGTACTGTTGATATTTGGCTCTGTTGACTAATGAGTTTGCCGACCACTGTTCTAAACCAACAGAAAGCTGATTCCTGGCCCATCGGAAGGTAATAATTACAGAGACATAAATAACTCCATGCTTCTAAAGATTTCTCAGCAGTAATGGATTTTTCAACATACCCACAGGTGTTTCAAATTCTGATTATATTCAGAAGTTGGCTTGCACTTTATTAAAGGAGTTTTCACCTCTTTTCAGCCTGGAATATGAAGGTGTGTGAAGCTAGAAACTTTCTTTCATACCTGACACTGATGATATTCATATTTTCTAGAAAATGATAGTGCTGTTTTTCCACTATCAAGAAATGAAGGTTTCTCACAAGTGTGTTCTCCTTATATTACCAAGAACATTGGTTTTGTCCTAACCGGTTTGGCTCAATGGATAGAGCATTGGCCTGTGGAGTCTAACGGTCCCGAGTTTGATTCCTGTCAAGGGCATGTACCTTGGTTGTGGGCACATCTCAAGTAGGGAGTGTGCAGGAGGCAGCTGATCAGTGTTTCTCTCTCATTGATGTTTTTAACTCTCTGTCCCTCTCCCTTCCTCTCTGTAAAAAATAAAAATAAAAAAATCAATAAAACATATTAAAAGAAAAGAACATTGGTTTTATGGGTTAATATACCATCCAAGTCCTCTTTTTACTCTTAAGCAAATGAACTTATAAATACATTTTTAGTTTATGGCAGGTATATTATATTTATAATTCACCCTTAGCCAGTGACCCAGAATTTTTTTAGTTCTTTAATAATTTAGATTCCAAAATGAATATGCAAAAGTGATGTTTATATAGACCAAAACTGAGGATTTGATTGATGGCCTTTTAAAATGCTTTATCTGCCCTACCTGGTTTGGCTCAGTGGATAGAGCATCCACCTGTGAAATGAAGGATCCCCGGTCCTATTCCTGTCAAGGGTACATGCCTGGGTTGCGTGTTAGATCCCAATTGGGGGCGGGGGGAAGCGGGGGGAGATGCAGGAGGTAGCCAATCAATATTTTCCTCTCATCATTGATGCTTCTATCTCTCTTCTTCTTTGAAATAATTATATATATATATATATATATATATATATATATATATATATATATATATATATATATATATATAATAAAGCCCTCACTGGTTTGGCCCAGTGGATGGAGTGTTGTCCTGTGGACTGAAAGGTCCCAGGTTCGGTTCTGGTCAAGGGCATGTACCTTGGTTATGGGCACATCTCCAGTGGGAGGTGTGCAGGAGGAAGTTGATGATGTTTCTCTCTCATCGATGTTTCTAACTCTCTATCCTATCCCTCTTCTTTCCTCTCTGTAAAAAAAATCAATAAAATATAATATTTAAAAAAATAAATAAAACGCTCTTATCCAAGAATAATGTTCC